GCGTACGCAGGATTTTTTCAAGGGGGGGGGGGGGGGTTTTAAAATATTTTGCTCCCGAAAATTTGAAAATCGCGCCGGCCGAAAAGTCGCTCAGTGGGGGGGGGGGGGGGGGGGGGGGGGGGGGGTAAGCGGACACTTTTTTTTGTTTTTTGGGGGAGGTCCAAAAAATTCGCAACGACTCAGCCAGCCGAAAGTCCCCTGGCTTGGGGGGGGGGGGGGGGGGGGGGGTAAGCGGACACTTTTTTTTTGGGGGGGGGGGTCTCGAAATTTCAAAATTTGACATTTTTTCGTTGGGAGGGGGGGGTTAAGGTCACCTTATTTAGGTTAGCCGTGGGTAATTTTTTTTTTTTTTTTTTTAATAAAAAAAAAAAAAAAAAACCAAAGGGGGGGGTTTTAGGTTTTTTTAGGGGGGGGGTTTACATACATAAAAATACCAAAGGGGGGGTTTGAACCCCAAAACACCCCCCTGCGTACGCCCCTGAATCTATTGTGTGCTATCACAATCTGATTGTTTCATTTTCACTTTAAAGCAGGCGCGTAACAGGGGCGGTAGGGTAGTAAGAGGACATAGGACGAAAAAGGAGCAGACGAAGAAAAAAATTGAAAATTCTGGACAAGTCGAAAAAGGTACAACGAATCGTTTTCTTCTCTAATAATTTCTAATGAAACGTCAAAGCTTCCGCGCTTCGATCGGGGGGGGGCAACTGAAATCAGACAAGGAATGGTAAAACGAATCGTCTTTCTTGTCTAATAATTTAATGAATACGTCAGAAGTGTTACGCGCTACGCGCGGGAGGGGGGAAAACTGATTCAGCCAAGGATTTAGAGACGAGAATGGATAAAACGAATCATCTTCTTTCTCTAATAATTGAATGAAACGTCAAAGCTTCCCGCGTTTCGCGCGGGAGGGGGAAAAACTGCATTCAATACAAGGGTTTAGAGACGAGAATGGTACAACGATCGTCTTCTTCCTCTAATAAATTAATGAACCGTCAAAGTTTACGCGCTACGCGCTGGCGGGGGAAAAACTGAATCAGACAAGGATTAAGAGTCGAGAATAGTACAAGAATCGTCTCCTTTCCCTTATAATTAATGAAACGTCAAAGCTTCCGCGCGCTTCGCGCAGGAGAGGTGTGGGGGGGGGGGGGGGAACTCAATCAGAGAAGGATTAAGAGTCGAGAATGTATAAAGAATCGTCCTTTCCCGTAAAATTTAATGAAACGTCAAAGCTTCCGCGATTCGCGGAGGGGGGGGGAGGAGGGGGGCTGAATTCAGACAAGTAATAAGAGTCGAGAATGGTACAAAACATGTCTTCTTCTTTCTTAATAATTAATGAAACGTCAAAGCTTTGAGCTTCGCGCGGGAGAGGGGGGAAAACTGAATTCAAACAAGGATTAAGAGACGAGGAATGGTACAAACAATTCGTTTCTTCCTCTAATAATTTAATGAAACATCAAAGCTTCCGCGATTCGCGGGGGGGGGGGGGGGAACTCATTCAGAGAAGGATTAAGAGTCGAAAATGGAACAGCGAATCATCTTTCTCTAATAATTTCATTAAACTATGAAAGGCCAAAGATTTCCGTGCTTCGCGCGGGAGGGGGGGGGGGGGCTGAATTCAGTCAAGTAATAAGAGTCGAGAAATGGTACAACAAATCTTCTTCTTTCTCTAATAATAAATGAAAGGCCAAAGCTTCCGCGCTTCGCGCGGGCTGGAGGAAACTGAATTCAGACAAGGATTAAGAGTCGAGAATGGTACAACAAATCGTCTTCTTTCTCTAACAATTAAAGAAAGGTCAAAGCTTCCGCGCTTCGCGCGTAATAGGGGGGGAGGCAGGGGACAGCGAGCTGCCCGTGAAACCAGAAAATGACTTTTCGGGCAAGAGGCCCCCTCCCCCCCCCCCCCCCCCCCCCCCCCCCCCCCCCCCCGATGAAAATGTAAAAAATTGTACCGGTATGGTGCTTCTAATATGACCTTGTCAGTATTGGTATGTTGGGTTGAAAAAACGGTCTGCTCAATTTTCAAATTTCCGGCCCCCCCCCCCCCCCCCTATTGGAAAATCCTGGATCCGCGCCTGAAGGTTGCATATAACTAGCGGCAGACTTCAGTTTAGTTTTATTTCAAGAGCATGAAATCTCATTTATATACGGAAAAAGTGTATAAGGTATGTAAATCGTAGACGGCCGCCTTTTTTGCGAAGAAGATGGTCGCCTGCCAAGAAAATCAAGATGGCGTTAAAAGGGCGATCAATTTTATGCACAGAAATGGGTACATGATATTCCCAATTAGAATTTAGACTTGACATTTTGGTGATAAAACTCATATTCAATGTGAGACTAGTCTCAAAAAAGTTTACCTTTTTGGGTAGTGACATCCACAGAATTACCGAGCAACGCCAAAGCAAGTTTTCAAAAGTCATTCTGTTATTACATATCCCAACTGCACAAAATTATAAATATCTTCTAAAATGAAACAACAAAGAATAATCAAACAATAGATTTCATGGTAATGGTCATTCATGACTATTCTTCAATCATCTAAAAGGGCTGGTAAAAACAGTATACAGTTGAGGTGTCGTGGTCGAGTGGATACGTCGCCGGACTGTCGATCGCAAGTCCGCGGTTCGAGTCCCGCCGCGGCACTAATGTCCTTCGGCAATACATTGATACATTTGCCACACTTAACCCAGGGGGTGTTTCATAAAGCTGTTCTAAAGTTACGCATGACTTTAGGAACGACTTGTATATGAAAAGCCAAATGGGATGCTCAATCATTATCGATTATTATTTATTAAGTTGAACTGTGCAGATGTAGATTAACATTCTTATTATAACAAACATTTTTAATGCAAAGTATATTTTTTTGCCATAATTTAATTGAAGTTATTGGAAATATCAGAAAAAACTTTTGGCATCCTATCTGGCACTCATATACAAGTCGTTCGTAAAGTCATGCGTAACTTTACAAACTCTTTATGAAACACCCCCAGGTGATGTAAATGGGTACCTGGCAGGAATTAATTCCTTGAACATGCTGGAGCGCTGTATAAACGGCTGCTAGGCTAAAGCCAGGGTAATAATAAATGTGCCTCGGAATAGAATTGTCTAGATAGATGGCGCTATAGAAATGCCTATTATTATTATTATTATTATTATTATTATTATTATTATTATTATACTGCAATATTACGAATGTATGTAGTCGATGATAAATGTAATTAAAAAAATTATTCTTACAGTAGCATTTTTCTATAGATCACTATGTATTCATTTCAATAATAACAAAAATCATTAAACTGAACTTGTTCTTGTTATCCCATGACATGGCATATGATCAATAGCAAATTTAATGTAGAATGGAAAGGTACGGGAGAGGGTAGGAGAGAGAGAGAGTGATGGAGGAACAGAGGAGAGACACCCACATACATGACAGAGACAGAAAGAGACGAAGGTGAGGGAGAAAGAGAAAGCGAGAGAAAAGGTAAGAGAGAGAAAAGGAGCACGAGAGAAAGAGATAGAAAATTAGAGAGAGAGGGGGAGGGAGAAAGAGAGAAAAGAGAGAGAAAGGGGGAGTGAAAGAGAGAGAGAAAGAGAGAGGAAGAGAGAAAGAGAGAGAGAGAGAGGGGGCGGGAGAAAGAGAAAGAAAGAGAGAGAAAATGAGAGAGAGAGAGAGAGAGAGCTAGTAAGGGAGAGAGAGGGGGGATGGTTAAATTGAAAAAGAGCAACAGTGGTAAGCCTATTAGGTTGCAAAGCTGTATCGACTGAAAGTTCGACTCTTTTGTCAAGGGTTCTTTTGTTGGAATAAGGGGTAAGCATCGGGCCAGGAGTGCTCAAGAAGGGCTAAATCAACAAGTAGCGTTTAGCTAATTGAGTAACTCTATTGTCGATAATGGGTAGTTAAGCGCTTCAGAAAACATGCCCTTCTCATCAATCCCGATCTATTGATTATCGACGATGAGGGTTTCTGGAGATGTTTCGGAAAGGGAATCTCCTCTTTCATTGCGGCCATAATCCCTGGTTTTCTCTCTGATCACCACATAATTGCGTGCCAACATTCCTATTCTGATCCCCGAATGCACATGTGAAACGTCTTTCAACAGGTAGCCGGGTTGGCAAAACAACTCTCTCCTCCATAACGTGCCCCCCCCTCTCCCTCTCTCACCTTCTCTCTCTCTCTCTCTCCATCCATCCTACGAACCCTCTTCACTCTCCAACACCAATCTCTCGTTCTGTCTTTCTTTATCCTTTTATCCACCTATCCATTCGTTGCTCTCTCCTCTCTTCTTTCTCAATCCCGCGTACCCGCTTTTCTTATGGATATTTTCAAGATTTCGCAAGCTCGACCCCCCCCCCCCCCTGCACCTCATGATTTGCGTCCAGTTTATTTATGTAATAGAGTATGAAAGGCTATGTCGGAAATCCTTCCTACATTCAGTGACATCATGACGGAAACAAGTACTCATATTCTTTTTTAAATTTCAGCGCTGCTATTAATATCATGATTCAAGATTGGGTCTACACGATTCTTCGAGTCTGAATGATACCGGTTTCATACAATTATTGGGATTATTATTTCTTGAATGTTAATATGTTATTCTTTTGTTCTCAAAAGTACTCAAAGAGTAGTCATACCCCCTCCCCCTCCCCCTCCCCCTCCCCCTCCCCCTCTCTCTCTCTCTCTCTCTCTCTCTCTCTCTCTCCCTCTCTCAAACACACTCACCCATTCTCTTCACTCCTGTTCCACTCCTCTCACTCTTTCTCCTTTCCTTCCTTTCTTCGTCACCCAGCCTCTCTCCCCTTCTCCCCCTTTCAGGGAGAACCTTTCATGACACGGAAAAGCCCGTGGGCTTATCCATATTATGATCCAGAAAAGTATTTCGTAGCACACTTTCTTCTTTCGAAAGCATTTTAACGTTTTGGCATGAGACGGTGTGAGGATCTATCGTAGCCGGAAAATATTTATTCGTCATTTTGATTCAACTATCTTCTTGTTAAAATATCCTCACCAAATGGAATATAGCAGCATCTCTCGAGAGGAGCAGAGTTTGTTCAAGGGTATTTCACTTCCGTTAATATTTATGGTCGCTGTTTGGAATGTATCCAGCTTAATGTATTGTGTCATTTAAGAAAAGGGAGAATGTTTGGATAAAGCCGCTTCATTATGGCCACGTAAATCCGGTTATCGGAATAATACGGAGCTTTGTATAATGCTAATTGTGTAATTAATGAGCGCAGTGTGGTTCCCTCATGCTTGCGGACCTCCCGTCAATGCTTGCAGGCCAATTAGGCTGGCTAGACTGCTGAGAGCTACATCCAAACTCCCATTCTCACCAGCTCTCTGCCAACAAGAAGGTCTACCAGCGCCTCGGACAAGCTACCAACGCAACCAACACCGTGGGAAATCAAGAAAGACTCCAAAATATTACTTTGAACGACAGAAGGGTTCAAGTACGATCACATAGCTTTCGTTTGCCACCTTCCAACAGGAGAAGCATGTAGAGGATTTTATCCGACCTTAATTAATTTGTGCACGACGACTTATAGGGTAAAAGTGCGAAAATATGCAGTAGACCCCAGTTACCGTGTGCGTGTATTTGTATTGAATAGCTAATAAACTGTTAAGTAAGTTGCGGTAGATCGGTTAACGACAAACTCCAGCTAAAAATGGATGTCTCGAAAGTCTTGATCTTGACTTTGATATGGCTGTTGACAGCAGACTCGGCTCCGCCGGATTATGTGACGCTGACCAGAAAAATGGAGAGCAAGATTCTACGGGTTATGGGTCTAAGCGAACGGCCGCGACCCAAGCCTAACGCTACGGCACCCCAATACATGTGGGACCTCTACAGGCAACAAATGGCAGCGACTGAAGGAGCAGCAGCCAGCCGAGGAGGGGAGACTGAAATTGGGAAAGAGGAGGAGGAGGATGGAAGACCGTGCTCAGAGACCAAACTCAGTAGTAACATCATCAGGAGTGTTTCAAACACAGGTGGGTAGCTAGCGTCTTGAACTTTGCTTCTTGCATTTCTTTTCATCCATATGTTAGGTCGGGAAATGATTAACGACCTGATATAATGACATATGTCACGCCAATTACTATCAGGCCAAGGCTAACTATGCTGACAGCTGTGCGCGACGCTTGATTTATTCTTAACCATTATAACTTACCATTTTATTCATTTTCTGTCCTACATCGATTGAACTTCAATTATATATTAATTCATATTCTAAATATAAGCTCCTCCATACTTCTTTTTCTTCTTTCGTCGAACCTCAATATTTGTTCAGGTTTTTACTTTCCTATATTGGTGCGGAGGCAAAGTCACTATTCCATTTCCAATACCTTATTAGCAATTATATCATCTGTCCATGCGATTCAAGCGATATTCTCTATTCCTTTCTTATGTATACTGGCAATAACCTTTTGTGTGGGATAAAATAACAAAATCATCAGGTAACGAAGAATTTGATTATTTAGGCCATGTAAAAAATATACATGTTTAGCGTCCCCGCCCGCTTCCTTTTGGGGGTCGCCTCCTACTTTTTATTGATTTTTTTGTTTGTTTGTTTTTTTTTTTTTTTGAATATTTTTTTTTAAAGAAAAAAAACATAAAAAACACTGCTAAAAATCGATCTATTTCTGATTTTAAAAAAAAACAAGAAAATGTCTGCGGCCATCTTGAAAAATAGCCGACTGTCAGCAGGGAAAATGTAACGAGCGGCCATTTTGAGCGGTCATTTTTGAAAGAAAAAAAAAGAAGGGCCCTCCTTCCTATTTTTCGAAAAAAACAGGACGCTAAACATGTTTTTGTATTAATTTGGCCTCAAACAAAATGACCTGACATGAAGGGCTAGTATTTGTATACTCTCCATCTCCCTCTCACGCTGGTTGTTCCATCATCATCTCCCCCCCCCCCCCCTCTCTCTCTCTCTCTCTCTCTCAGCTACTTATTCACAGTTTATGGATTTCCTAAGTCTCGGACATTTTTTACTCGTCTTTCGTATCTCTTTATTAAGTTCACGGAACGAATTTTTCATTGTCAAAAACGGGTTATTTAGTAATAAGATTTTTAATTCGCCCCCGCCCCCTATTTCCTCGAAAGAGATGAAAAGATGGCGGGTAACACTTATCACCTACCCATTTGTTTATTCACTGACCTGGTCTATTGAAAACTTCAATACCTTTGGTCTTGTTAGTTAAAGACAAGATTGGAAACGCGATGGGTTATTTTCAAGAAAGCGGATCCCAGTGTAATTAATTACTTATTCAATAACTTTCGATCAACGAGCTTATTAATTCCTTGTACCTCGTTTAATCCTGAAGTGGGTCAAACAAAGAGGTTTCGAAGCTGCGTGGCTCAGAAGCCAACGCCTTCCTCAATAGACCATTTTGTCTTTTTCAATGTAGCATGATGATGCTATAGAGAAGCGTTACTCATGGGTAGCTGAGTAAGAAAGTATTTAAAGGAGCTTAATTAACAAAGATTCAAGATCCCTTGCACACTCCATGGGTCGAGCAATGGACGCGATGCGCTTGAACTATTCTTTTAAGTTGCTTAACTGCAAAAAATAAAGTTCCCGCCTTCTTTGACTGAACTACCCCAACCTGTCATCATGTTAATTCATACTGTTTTGCAGCTTCATGCGAGAAGTCTCGCAAAAAAGTCCGTTGCCAAAAACTTCCTAAAACAAGAATTTGGGATCATCTTCAGTGATGGCGGCGGTCAATGACGTAAACCCTATCAGAGTGGCGCCTCCCACCATCGCATTGGTCACTTGCATTGAAAAACGTCACATGCGATTAACACGTGGCGTATATGATAAGAATACGATTATAACTCGATTTTATCGTATTCAGATATTATAATATAGTTATAAATGGGATGAGTTAAAGGTAGAAACGTATACACAAACTACCCGTCAGGCTCCTTCTCTAAAGATGTTGGAAGTTTACAGGGGGTGGGGGAGGTGCGGCTTTGCATTATTAGGCCTATTTGTAGCTCCATCTTACCAACTGTCTTATAGACAAACAGTCTGATTACGTCACTACGTTTATTACATAATCATTAGAGTTTGGAATTCATTAAGAAATAATCCGCCTCTGTAAACACATTTTATAAGTATTAAATGCCATATTTTAAAGAAAACACTTCAATCGTTGGCACTTACAACAGAAAACCGGCACCAAAATCACACTTGGCAGCGGCAGAAATGTCACATGACTTTTGTTGCCCTCTTAAACAAATAAAATATAGTGTATATTTGTACTCCCTTGCTATAAACTCGATATATTCTAATGCTAGTGTTAAATCGCCCGGGGCAACTTTTGCCACTTTTTCACGAACGCTTTTTCTCTTCTTCTTTAGCTGAAGGAGGAATTTCAACTGGTTGAGTCACACTGACTGAGTAATTGGCGTAGACCTTTCACTGTCACATCAATGTTATGCCATAAAATATCTCTTCAAAATAATTGATGACCAAAGATCTAGTAAACCTCACACATTTTCTGTGTCGTACCATAATATTTGTTCACAACTTTCAGTTTTTCATGTTCGCATGATTAAAAGGCCTACAAGTTTTCGATTGCGCGGATGCTTCGTAGTATGTTAAGAAGAAAGAAAAAAGCTTTTAATCGTAAGACTAAAGGAGAAAACGTTTAAATAACCTAAGCAAATGTGAGATAGTTTTGAGTATAACCACTGTTACAGCTCAAATGGATGATAAGAGCACTCCCCGGGTTTTACTCAAATTGAGCCAAAAAAAGTGAAAATTAGGCAAAGTCATAGCGGTTTCTACTGGACCACATCATTAGCTCGTCGAAAATGAGGTGAACGTAAAAATATTTTGTTTGAAGGCATTCTTTTTGCTAGTACATTTCTGATTCTTCATTAATTTTGACGCGCGTCATTAATCTTATTCATGTATACCAATCTCTGTACCGCGGCGAAAAGTAATCTCAAAAAACCTCGTTAAGTGCTCACAAAGAGGCAAAGTGACATTTTGGTCTTGTTAATGTTGTTAACAAAAATGTAACAAGACAGTGCAAATGTTAATTAAAATGCTAAGAATTGGTAAGACGTTCACACGTTCATCAACGCTGTAAATCTTGTCTGTCATTCTTAGATTCTTTCCCTACAACTCCATTTATGAGGGGGAAATGTCTGCCTTTCGTCATTGCAATTATTATATTCACATTTTCTCTGACTGAGAAATTTCATGTGGTTCGCATTGCAAAAATAGTCAAAAACAGTGAGCACTTGGACAAAAAGCGGAACCGGTTCGCTCATGCTGCGCAACTAATTTTGAAGAAAAAAAATGATCGGAAATGTATTCCAGAACCAAGGCAAAATGTAATTACAGAAACCATTGTTCATGTTGTTTCCGGTTGTCTCGTTAAAGAATCAGACAATCTGTGCATTGTGTATGTGATCACGGTATGTATAATCGGTACATGAAGAACATCCATGCGGATTGGATCAGTTACTATTTGTTACGTCACAATGACTGTTGGCAAGGTCGTCGGAAGTCGATACATCATGAGTAGTATGTGATGTCAGCAGTAGGATAGAGAGACACACACTCTCGTGGGGAATGTTTTACTTTCGTTTGCAATGAACATGCTGTATTTGTGCATACAATTTCCCCCTAAAGTTATTATTTATTTTTTTTATTTTTATTTATTTATTTAAAAAACAGGGTAGCCCATTCAACAATAAGTTGGTCTCCCATGGAGCCCTGTGATAACATACAAATCAAAGCATAATTGAACGATCAACATAAACATAATATAGAATCATAAATGAAAAGAAAATTGCAAGTAAACAAACGAACAACAGATGGAAATTCTCTAAAATAACAGAAATAACAAACATGTAAAAAATTAGACTAATATGAAAACATTGGGAAATATTGCATGTGGCCGTATGGCGGATGCAAGAAAAATATTAGACACAAATTATGGACACATGAACAATGATCAATGTAACGTCGGGAATGAATTTAGAATAATCTTAAAAATTACTGGCAAGAGCTATGAATTATTAAAGCAGTGCTTCTTTAAGTGAAATTTAAAGGAATTAAGGGTATCTTTTGTTCTTACTTCAATCGGCACATTATTCCATAGGAAAGGGCCGTCGTAGCATAACGAATGTTTACGATACATTTAGGGATTGCGAGATCACGTCTAATAGATTGCCTCGTATTCATTGTGTGGACGTCACTGAGTTCTTTGAAGAAATTGTCAAAATAACCAGCAGATAGGCTGTGAGTACATTTATAAATAAAAACGCTTCTAAAATATTTAACACGCTCATTGAAGGGTATCCATTTCAACCGACAGAAAATATCTCTAGAGGGTGTATATTATGTTACAATTTAGAATAATTCTTGCCGCCCTCTTTTGTGGCTTTATGATACGGTTGGTCTGTGTTTTTAATCTATTGCCCCATATTTCGCAGCAATAGTCCATTTGAGTTATGAATCCTTACAATAGAACACTTTGTCTTTTTCTACAGCATGTCTTCAGGACCATCAGCGTTGTTCAACCTTTTAGTCACGATATCCTTTTAGGAATTGAACATTTTCGCGTCACCTTAATTCTAAATTCATCACGGATATGTTCTCCATAGTCTTACACATAATACTTAAGCATACGGCACATTTTTGTAAGGGGGTCGACGCTTCTTGTCAGAATATATATTACTAAATTTAGTATCCTGTTTCTACATTATTTTACGAGGGAGTGAAATGAGCGAACAGAAAAATTGACAATTCTATTATAACCATTATGTGGTTGTTTTTTTAATCTGTATAATAAGATATAGAATATAATGTGGAGAAATATAATACATGTTTATTCAATTTGATTAAAATCATGCCAAAATATCATGAATAGGAAGATATTCGGTCGTCTTGTTGCCAGCAATCATCCTGTTTCGTAATTTGCGAGCGAGTGAAGTGAATCAAATGAGTAAAAAACTTACAAAGTTCACGAATAACTATGACGATAATCGGGCAGCGAGATGTCCGCAAATCGCCATATCATAATTATGAAGGTCTTCTTTCAACTTACTGATACCATCCAATTTCTAAATTTTGCGAGGGAGCAGGCGAGCAAGTAAAATTTCACTTTATTATCTTTAACATATTATTTCCTCATCGAAATACCCAACGTGATATATATATTATGTGGGTATCTTGCGCTTTCTGATTCCTTGTTTTCATGAAGTGACCTGATTCTAGAATACATTTTTTAATATAAACACATTCCTCTCGCTGCACCCCGGTTGAAAAAGACTGGTCTCTACCTATTAAAATATTTCTGCTACTTGTCAGCTCGGTCGGAACAATGAATCAATTTGTGAAATGGTGTATATATCAATTTAATCTCGATAAAAATAAATGTTATCATTTGAAATGTGAATATTGTCACATAGACTTTAACAACTAGTATATAAAAGCACTTTTAGTAAACGAAATTTTTAACTTTCACCACCCATATTTATAGTAGTAAACTACGTGTTTCTCAATCTTTTGAACATAAGATGGCGACAAACACTTTCATTGGAAAAACTACATGGACGACATTGACGATATTTTGTAGTTGGTTAGTATGCTTAGTATGGTTACTATGCCTAAAATTTAGATCGAAGTCATTTCACATGTTTTGTCAGAAATAACTCTCATTTCTAAAATATACCTGACTCTCCGTCGCTTCCTTACAGCTTCAGAAATGGGATACAAAAACTGGAGTTTCTTTGAAAGGTTCAGGATAGATTTAGACTTGCACTTTGGTGTATATCTGACATTGTAATCTAAGCCGAGTTCAAGTGCGATACCATGATATTTTTGCTGCCCGTGGGTCTGAAGACTTACAGATGTGCACCAAGAACTCTCCCTAATAAACACATCATCTGGCGACCATCATGTAACTGTAGTGAAAAGACAGGAGGATGAGAGAGAGAGAGGGAGAGATGGATGTGTTGGAGACGAGTTGATGGATTTTAAACTTTGTATTTTGTAAAGGCCCGACTTGTCATACCTGCATACCTTGGTTTTACCCCAGGGGATGGATAATTGACCCTCGGGTGAAACACCAAACGAGTATAGGGTGTGTCATCGAAAACAGATATACTCAATCATACCAAGATACCTGGATAGTATACATGTCGCTACGCTACCTGATAATTCTTTGATTTGTACAAGAATACATCGGTCAAATTTGGATGTAGCATGTTTCTTGGTCAGTTTGATAAAAACTCGGATTTGTGTTAAAAAATATAAAAAGGGTTTTTGAGATCATGGCGTGTCTTTTTATCCGGAACATGGTCTAGTAAGGCGGAAGAAATATTGCGTAATTGGTCTGCGAACCCGTTTTGCACTCGACTGATCTTTCCCACCCTGCATTTAGTTATTCAAAACTTCGTTCGGCTCTGATATGTCAGGATATCAGACCTTTCTAAATTTAGAACCAGCCACTGTTCACATTAACGTCTACGATTTGGAGTTAGTTAGAAGATTATTATTCGGTGTCCGCCGTGTCCTTTTCCTTTACATCATCTTTTGATGGTGATCTAAAATTAATTGCGGTATCTTAGTTATGATTTCTTATTTCCATGTTCCTCCATTTTTGAGATACCTTGTAGACCTGTCAGTCCGTGTCGGGTTTTTGCCGCTGCATTCAGGGTGACGAGAGATGAACGTACCCACCAGGAGCGGCGGCATGGCATCCCTTCAAAGGGTACACCTGAGCCGAGCACGGGTGCTCCCATAATTGCTTGATGATTCTTGACAAGGTTTACCGAGCCATTTTTTTTTTGATTGGCAGCTAAAGTGTATCGGATGATATCCTCATACACCCCACCCTCATCATAACTGTATCATAAACCCTAAACCGACAGTTCCTATCTACATTTTAGAGTCGCATACTCGATCCAAACTTGTCTGGGATAACACGCTGCATAGAAAAAATTACTATTATCAAGTTGTGAATGGTCTCGATATTCATTTTCATTCATATTCATTCGAGCGTTTAGCAAACCAAGGAAACCCAAAGAGACGAATCTTTATCTACAATCTAACCACTGATATTCACCCCATGATGTTGGCAGGGACGGCGATCCCGGGGGACATGGGGACACGCCCCCCACCCCTCAATCTTTTTTAAGGGGGGATCGGCCCGCCGGAAAATTTGAAAAAAGATAAAAACAAAAAATGTATAGCAAATACTGACTTCAGACTGCAACACACTTTTAGGCTCTGGAGGGCCCAGTAGTGCAGCGTTTAGGCTAATAAAAATGCAAAAAATCTTCTCGCTCGGTCGCTACGATTCCTCGCATATTTTCCTTAAAAATGTACAAGTTAATATCGCATTTCGTCACCCCGGTCATGAAAAGAAATCGCCGCCCCTCAATATTGGTATTGGCTCCGTTTTAAATGATGAAGTTTAGTTTGCACATCAATCATACCGTGATCAAACCAGATTGATGTAGCAAACAGTTTATGGTAATTTCGACAACTATGGTGTCTATGAATATTTTACTTAAAACACATGTGATGAAATGGTAGAATTTCAAATTTATGTTCATAAATTCTTTGATTTCAAACTTGTTTCCCCTTGTTACAGGTGGTGATCTCCGAGCCAGCAACTCGACAAGCCTTCAACAAATCCTCCTCTTCGACGTCGCTTCTATTCCCCACGCCGAGACCATCGAGGCTGCCGACCTCAGACTCGAAATACCAGCTCTACCATCAGCCACAGACGTCCCTTCACTAGCAGTGAGAATATACCAGTTAGAAAGTCGGACTAGACTAAACTCAATCGTTTCATTGAAAGACAAACGCCTTAGATTGCTCGATGTTGTGTTAGCAGACTTGTCCCAAGGCTATGCTGGGACGATCGATATAGTAAGCACGGTGAATTCATGGCGATCGAAGAAAACATCAAACCACGGTCTGTTGCTCCACGTGGAGTTGATGTCAACTTCAGGTAACAACCGACGTGGCAGTCAAGTCATCAAAGAGCTTGGAGCGATAAGCAAAAAATGTACAGCGAATCTGATTGTGACGTCTTCAGAGTATCGGCAGTGCAGCAAACGAAATCGACGGAACAAGCGACAAGCTGAAAGCGAAGCTCCTGCCGACATTAGCTCATTCCCGACTGCGTCGCTCACCAACCTTTGCCAACGACATCGTCTCTTCGTGAGCTTCCGCGACGTCGGGTGGGAGAACTGGATCATCGCTCCGATGGGCTACCAGGCATATTACTGCGATGGCGAGTGCCCTTTCCCACTTGGTGAGCGACTGAATGGTACAAATCACGCCATCATACAGACACTCGTCAACTCGATCGACAACCGAGCGGTTCCTAAAGTCTGCTGTGCTCCCACGAAGCTCTCCGGTATCTCCATGTTATATTTTGATAATAATGAGAATGTGGTGCTTAGACAGTATGAGGATATGGTCGTGGAAGCTTGTGGATGCCGATGAAAGAAAGTCATTTTGTTATATCCATTTAAAAGTTTGATTTTCCCCCATCAAATGAAAGGTCGAAGTCTTACATAGTATGCCAAGCACATCATGAAATGTTGCGAACAAACATGGCATACGAAGAAGACACGGTCTGAAGTCAAAAGTGACTTCACATTGGTTGCTGAAATAGGAAAAGAGATACTATCTAGGGGTTGCTCTAAGACTAATGTTGTGGCCATTGATATAAAGAGTTTTGAGGCAGATCTTTTCGTGAAAGGTTTTGAACCTCACAATTGCGACAAGAGTATTATGTATCAATCTCTTAATAATATGAAAGTAAAGCAATAGCGGAAGGGCTTCGACCCCTGTTCGGATAAGTTATAGTCATTTTGGGAAGTGCCACTAATCAAGATCGCTTTCTTCTAAGTTTGATCACTGAGGTTCCAGTTTAACGAATGACTATCAAGTTACCTTGACGATAACCAACATGGAAAGTCAAGAAAACACAACATTCCTTATTTTATGCTACCATCATCATAATCTTGAGTTCTTATTCTCTCGCTTAGAGAGTGAAGAAACCAATACTTGATGACAATCTTTTTCTTTTTTACAGGATGAGAATGACGTTAAATATTGACAAAGAAAACAGAATGAAAAGGGGAATTGGGTTTTAAATAATCGCTTACACCATCATTATTGTGCAGAAATATTTCTAGCATCAAACATTGTTATATTGAGAAGATGGTTCCCATTTTGCGTTATGAATGTCAGTATCTGGATAACAAGGTATCCTTTCAACACGTGTTCAGTTGGCGAGTATTGCTGTCAAAGATCGTATCTTGTAAATCCCTCGTCAAAACTTCATCTTGAGTTGTCTCGAGTTGCCGATTTCATAAGCTTTGATGCAAACACAATGTTTCCCTTCAGCACCAAAACAGCATTTTCTGATAATATTCTATACAAAAAACCGGTAAAAACCTATTGATTTCACTACACTGATTTTATTTTCTAAGGTTCACGACGGAAACCAAGCAATCAACCAGTTTTGTAATGTGCATATGATACTATGGCTCTACAATTGTTAATATGAATTTAAATATAAAAGAACTAATACAGCTTTTGGTGTATTCACTGCCTTCATTACTGAACATATTTTCATATATGAATTTAAATATAAAAGAACTAATATAACTTTTGATGCATTCACTACCATTTTAAAGAGATTTAAGATACAAAACAAACTTCATGTTTCAAGCAAACAACGATTGCTACGTTCGAATTTCAACACATCACACAAAATGGGGGCTAAGCTTTTGACGTTGTATAGATAGAGCCCGACCCCGCCACTTAGTGTTATTTGGGGTACGCGTATGCATGTTCCCTCTTTTTTTTAAAGCACCCCCTATCTCCGGTGTGAAAGTGAATGTCGGGCCGGACTTTATCGCGCAAAAAAAAGAGGGGGGGGGGGCTGTCCATACATAATCATTGGACATCACGCTAAAATGGCAATACGACAACATGAGGACTGTGTTTGGGTACGTTAGTCTGGTTCCAGTGCTATTTTCCCAATTATCTTAGCTTTGAATCATAAAAATATGAAGATGTAGGCTACACGACAAAGTATACAGATCTACGAAAGCAGACCCATCAGTAGTCATTGAAATTCAGATCATGATAATGTTGATATTAAACAAAACTGCGACGAATGCTTTTTTGAATCGATTAATGTACTTGAGTAGGCCAATATTGAAAAAATATTCTTGAAATTAAAAAAGCAATATTTTGAAAAATGGTCGACTATCCTTTTAATCTAATGAATCTTCAAGCTAATTGATAATGCTGTTTTATATGTAAATAGTGCATTGTGCTGTGTATATTTAAATATCATTTTATATTTGCCAATAATTATAATGTGACCATTTAAATTCAAAGTAGTCGTTTTCGCTGTTTTCGCTTTCTTGAAATAAACTTGATCTATATTTATATCACTAATTCATAGTTATATACTGCTTTTCTTCTCCTGGTTTGTTTCTCGCAATCCCCCTTCTTTTACTCCGTAAGATAACACGACAATGATGATGATGATGATGCTAATAATGTCTGTAATTTAGATAGCGTTGATGACGACAAGCAAGATAATGAGTTTGATGATGATGAAGATGATGAGGAGTAGAGATGATGACGATGTATGATGAGGCATATGAGAGAGATAATTGTGACGATGAGGTCAACATAGTGATATCGATTAACATGAAGATGATGATGGTGATAATGATGATTATAAAAAAAGATAATGACAGTACGATGGTAATGATGATGATCACGACGACATTGATGATGCTGATGACGATAATGGTGGTGATTATGATGATGAGGGTGACGATGTTGATTACGATGATGATGCCGATATACACGATAATGAGGCTAAAGCTCAGTTGAAAAACGACCTTCCAGTCCATGATAGAGACCACTCATAAGACCATCACTGACGCTCTTGCTGGCCTGTAGAAGAAACAATCTCTGAAGCCGATCACAAGACCGAGTATGTCGGTCTCGTATGCTGTCTGTCAACTGGGATGTTCCAACAAGGCTGTGGTGACGAGCTTGAAGGGAATGATGACGACGATAAGTAAGATGATGGTTATGAGAATGATGATGATGATGATTGTGAACATAGTTGTGATGAAGGTAATGACTTCGAAGCCAACAAACGTGCAAGAGTTAGACAGACATATCATAATCTATATGGATATCATTAATAATAATAAATCAAGTAATTATTCACAATCAATGTTAAAAGGAGTCAATGATTAATATAACCAATAACTAAGAAAACGTTGACCAGAAACAGAGGTTCGACGAGCGAGATGGCAGAATGTTAATACTATAGAGTGATAGTCGTTGATGGCAGTAGACTGGAATTCTCATTTCATTTGGAATAGTATCGGTAGTCGGTACCACTTTGCTTTCTGAAAAAAGGGTTCAGTTCGTTAAGTGCAAATAATTAGATAAAAGAAAGAAACTCAAAATGTTTTAATCTACTCTCAATAAACAATATGGTTCTTTTGTTAGTTCGTCGTTTTGATTTACAGCGAGCATAGGAAACGACTAATTTTGTACACTCTGAAAGTTTTTATTTTGGTGAGCATAAAGTAATTCTTTTGTTAATGTAAAGCCTTAATGTCGATTGAATATAATTTTAAAAGTTCCTCTATATGATAAATAAAGTGATGTACTGACCTAATAACATTAAAAAAAAACAATTGTTACACTTCTTCTTAGCATTTTTTTCTTCAAAGACCTGATGAGCATTTAATGGATGTTTTAAGACAGGAGAAAAGCATCATCATTCTGGGCATAATTCAAAAGCTTGTATGTCCTATAGAGGAAAAAACATCGGTTTATTGTAAAGATGACTATGCCCCTAATTTTAATCAGTAGATTCCTAAAGAATGTATGTTTGAATTGCTATTCACTAGAACATTTTAAATTAGACATAATTATAATGGATTTCTACATTGTATTTTTTTCTCAGATTTAAACAGTTTATCAAGCCTGTTTTTAATTAGCTTACTTCATTTCTGTTATTTAAAAAAAAAAATCATATTGGAGATGCTTGGGTTTCAGAATATATGCCGCTTTCCTTCGCGTGAAAGATCGAGACACTATATTCCATGAATTAATATACCAATTTCAACACAACATATAAGGTGTTGAAGGAAAGGCGGGAAACTATACAGTGGTGATATGGTAAACGGCGGTGGTAGCGTAATGTTGACGAAATTGTATTTCTTCCCGATATTTTTATCCTACTGATACCAGTAAGAAGCGAAGCTGTGCTCATATTTATTCAGTTCTTCCGGTCTTGCATGAATACTGCCTGACAAACAGACCCATTTATTACGTACATCACACCTCATACGGCTTCTCAGTCCTATTTAGATGCAATTAATTATCGTGGTTATTTAAGCGACAACAAATTAGCCCCAATTTAATCAAACCTTCATGCAAAACCAGAATACATGTTCTTATAATTATTTGCAATTGATCATGTATGACGGCTTATTTGGGCTCAGTATTTTCTTACAATTTAACTAAAGTACCAGTTGTAACCTGGATTTAACGGACTTTTTCAACCGTGCCAATTTAATGATCGTACAAACATGTTTAAGGGTTCATGTGTAGCTATATATAGCATTGCAGGAATCTTGTTGATACTCAGTGTTGCTATGATACGCTAAAGGAATTGATATCCCGTACTTGTTGGGAAAAAATGAAAATCACAAGGTGGAATCTAGTCATTCCAATAATTGATGCACGCGAATTTAATCGGCCCTATACGGATTGGAGCTAATTCTCGGGCCTGTAATGAACATCATAATCAATCATAAGAATCTGTTATGTAACTCCAATATTGCTGTAATTAATTTTCTTCTCATACATTGCATCATGAGATTAATTCTAAGTTACCATTTAATGTCAAGTTAGGACTGATTGATGGAGATATATTTTGGGGAGACGCATGCAATCTCTGTATCTCTTTATTACCCTAAAAGGATAACAATGCTTGATATAGCCGTTTACTCATCTGCAAAACTAGCTCACGGTGCAATGCAATCTAGATTTACGCGGATTAATCAATCATTTTTATAGTTACATCTCTTTGACTTTGAAATGAATGTAGGCCTATACTCAACTGTTATTTTTGAATCCTTTTAATCGACGGAAAATAGTCTATTTCACCCCTTGTATACATTCCCATGCAGCTTTCCCTGTGTCCACTAATTCCATTCACTGACTCGACTGAAGTAATTAAGAAACAAAGTACTTTCACTCATAATTATTATAAATCCTCATTGATTGCTATCTATAAATCTATTATGGAACTTACAAACAAACTCCCTAAAGTATAAGACGAGAAAAGTACTAAACACAAGTATATAAAAAAAAAATGATGCTTAATTATCATAACTTTACTGTAACTTTGAACATTGTTACATTGAAACCATTTTGATCATTCAAAAAAGATGATTTTCAAACAGCCCAGGCCCAATGTGTCAGTCAAGATAACGAAATACTGTCTGCAAACAACTACATGAAAATATCAGTATCATCTTACGTGCTCCGATACTCAACGCGATAGATTTTGCACAAGGTCTTAACGATAGCAAAAATCAACAACTTGTACTTAAAAAGTCGTTTACGTCAGTCAAAAAGTAAAGCAGTAGTTTTCATTCAAAATTGTTGATCTTATGATATTTATCTGGTTTGTGTCATGTATGTCTGCGTGCAAATAAAATAATACAAGTCACTGGCTACTGTATGTAAGTAGATGTATAGTCCTTTCTATCGAATTGTGTACAGAGAGAGAAAGAGTGAGGGGAAGAAAGAGATGGGACGGAGGCTACTGGGGGGGGGGGGGGTTCAGCACTCCTATATACATGGGCGGGTTAGCTTCACAAATTCAGAAAATCTCTCACAAGACCACCCCTCCAATCTTAAGGTAATTTTTTTGTCCCAAATTTCAAGATTTTGTTTTCGTATTTCACTTATATTATGAGCTTATAGTCTGTAAAATTATTTGAAACAGAATATTACTTGTGTTAATATGAAAACACAAAGAAATGTCACAGAACAATGAAAAATAGCAAATGTTTATTCACATGTTATTCTCGTTGCTATATCAAAGTTGTCATAACTTTTCAACAAACATGGCAAAACAGTGGCTAGTACGGACCGAAACAAACCTTAGATTCGTTTCTCTCGCCTTTTCTTTCGGAAATCGATGCCGTAAACTGAAACCTAAACTGGGCACTTTCGTCACCCTTACGAAAGAATGACACCCCTTTTAAGTGCAGAACCTTCCCCCATTGAAAGACCCCCCTTATAAAGAGTTGTGCTAGCGAGTCCGTGGATGAAAACCATGATCCGTTTATAATCTTCGCCTCAAGACACACCCGTCACCCTCCAATCTTTTCTTCTCACACGTTTCCTCTCCTTTTCTCTCCTCTTGCCACTCTTTCATTCTCCTGGTTTTGTTAGGAAACGAAGCAAGCGCGACTGTGTTGTATTTTGTCAACGGGGCCCTGTTTGCATTTAAAATATAGACGTCATTGAGAAAAAAATAACTGTATCTCATAATATAGGCAAAGTTTAAAATGCCCTTACAATTATTTATTTAGGGGGTTGTATTTGACCTCACATTGGTGTTATCGTGATCTTTGATGAAATTCATACAAAGAACTATTAAGAGTCAAGACAATTGTTTCGGTCGTTTATAAACATATCTTGTCCTGGTTTGTTCTGAGCTTGTCTGAAATACGGGCAGTTTTTTTATTTTTGTTATCTCCCTGAAACCAAGATGGTTAAACTCGGCAAAGAGGTGGCCCTGGAACAAACTGCAAAGAGCGCCACCGGTCATCATCAACAGTCACGTGGCGTCAAAAGACATCTTTAACTACAATATATTAAACATTTCATATATCAAGATGGATAAATCGTCTGATGGCACGAAATCTGCAGAATATCAACCGCCGCACCCCACTGACAGTCACCATTGACCATAATCTGCCAAGGATGAAAACAAAAGGATGAAAACCTATGAAAACAAAAAAAGGATAATCAACTACCGCACATAGCCATCAGCCATCCTTGACTTTACATCTACAGAAGATTTCGAGCTCCAGAGCGGATTAGCAACATGACACTACACTATAACACACTATAAGTAAGATTTATTTTTTTAAAATTCAAAGATTTCAAGTTCAACCGCCGAACGGCGCCATAAGTCAACTTAAACCGAATTCGTAGTGCTGTCTATATGAGGCGCCACCTATAAACTTTAACCAAGATCTACCGAAGATTTCAAATTCCAAAGTGGATCAACCACTACAGAGCGCTATGTACTGGAAGAACCCAACCATCTTCAAGCTCGATCTGCCTAATATTTCAATCACTTACACAGATCAAGCACACTTTATGTCTGAGGTCCC